GTATGGACTTCAGGACCCTAAAATCCCATAGGGTAGGAGCTCCCAGGAGGAAAATACATGCATGAGAGAAATGCAAGATTTCCTGGAAGTCATAGCAAGGACAATTTCCTGATCAAATTAGTCCAGAACCATCAGCTCCTGCTTAGGAGATAATGAAAGGACAAACAAACTGAAAGTCAGAGGCTTCATTCTCCCTGATGAAAATGGGGAGATTTTCCCCGCTCTCATTTTTCTCACAGTATCTACCTTAGAAAACTTATAAGCACTTTCCCATCTCTCTGAACTGCATATACATCCTTTTATAGATTAGATAGGCCTTTTGATGGCCTCAGGAATGTCTTTAATCTTTTTCTCCTCAGAATCCCACAACCATCTCTTTAAACTTCAAGGCAAATGGTGTCCCGTGTCCGGTCTACAGGTTTTTGTGGAAAGGTAGGAGCCGAGCCTCTATTCAAATTACAATGCTCCTAACTCCTTTCTTCAAATTGCAAAGCTACCTACCTCCTGCCACAAAGAGATGAGACATTTTTCCTCCACATAAAGGTAATTAGCTAACACAGGTACTTACCCTTATTACTAAAGTAAATGTGTCATCAAGTTGTTTTGCTTGAGAACTAGCTATTGTTTCTTGTGAAAAGTTGCATATAATGCATTGTTTTGTGGCTACAGTGAGATTTCTTTGCCTCTGCAATCTCCTAGCGTATTGTCTGCAATGCACACCTCACTCTAGTTTAGGAATTCAATATAAGAATGCTTTCTTTCCTACTGCTTTTGTGAGAGAATTTCTGGGTTATGAGAACACTGTTTTTAATTACATTGACCCAATAGCAGAAAGCAAGAAAAAACCTTACTCTTATTTTTATAACAAAGAAATGCTGGTAAATCTACAAAACAGGCCAACAAAAAAAAAATGTAGATTTTAAAATTCATCAGAGAGCAAAGTTGCAAGACGACCAGTGAACATGAAATCTAAGAAAAAGACTGATATCTCCAAGGAGAAATGGAGGGTGAGCACTTGCTTCCTTGGAGCAGATGCAAAAGCTGCTAAAATGTTTATCAAATTGCACAAACAATAAGGAAAACTTGTTTCCTCAAAAAAAAGAGAAAGACACTAAAAAAATGATTCAATTTACAACAACATGAATAAGATATATAGGAAACAACATAACTAAATAGATAAAAGACATAAACTGAAAAGAACAGGTAGTAGGAACAATACATCAGGCAGACAGAATAGCCAGGCAAAGGCCCTGAGGTAAGGAACAGTGTAATGCTTCACAGAACTAAACAAAAAGCACTGTATGCAGGTAAGGCAGCACAGAGGGAAGGTGACATGCCATGAGTTTGGGGGAGAAATAAGGGACCAGGTCATGGAAATAAGGAAAATTGGGTCCCAGCCTAAAGGGAAAGTGTCTAAAATTCCAAACCTGAGCTCTGGGTCATCTTTGCTTCCTCAGTCTCTCAGATCCACGGCCTGTCCACTCATGGCCACTGTGACCTAAACTCCCCTGTGGCAGATGCCCAGTGTTACCAGCTTGCCCCTCTGGCAACCTGAACCAAGCCCTGGGACTCTCTGAACAAGAAATCTGCTTCCATCCTTCTCCAAGATGAAAACCTTTGTTTGTCACCACTCTGGATTAAGTCTTAATCCTTTAGCGAGGCCCATGAGCCCCTTCAAGGTTCGGTCTCTGCCCTTCTTCAGCCTCAGTTTTTGACATTGTTCCACAGCCTTGAATCAAGCCCATCACAGTTCTTCCCCACCTGCTCGCAATCTACAATAATGAATGAATGAATGAATGAATGAATGAACAAATGAATGTGCCCACCGGTCACTACTTTCCTCCAAAGTAGACATGAAATGACCTTAATTTTTCTGAATGCCAGTCTTATCCATGACATTGTTCTTTGGAATTCCAAGTAAAATCATCACTGCCCTTGGAATTCAGGATTTAAAACATATCTTGGTGAGTTTACTGCTTGTCTTCTAACTCCAGGGTCTGCAGGATTTCTGCACATTCTCTTGGGTGATCTGAGCCACTGCCACCAGCAGCTTTACTACCAAGACAACTATCCACACAGGCCTTCCCACATCTGGATATCTCCATTCTTGAGGTTTATCTTCTTGTCTCTTGAGATATTTCTCTTTGTAATTCTATTTTTTCCTTCCCTTAGACTTCTTTTTGCCCTTTATAATTTTTTCTCTTCCATAAATCAACCTTCTCTAAGTTACTGATAAAAAAGTGAGATACTGATTTCATGTCCAATTTTTAACGTTTTATGAGAACTTTCAGATGCATTAGCAGGTTATGGACCTGCAAGGAAATTCTGATAACCTTGAATTGTAATAATGAAACAAAAAAGTAACTCTTGTTGAACAGAAAGATGCTCTTGATTCTTTTCTATAATTTGTCAGGTTAAATGGATGTTGTAATGTTGCAAATGTATTTAAGAATTCTTGTTTCAGAGCCATGACAATTTTAGTTCAAGATGAAAATGGCCTTCCACCTAGGTTTTCTTCAAATTTATTAAACACACTATTATTTCTAGTTCTCTTTCATAAATGGTGAATCTTTTAAATACTCTTTACTCACCTTATTTTATGTTTTATATTGTAATTTAGAAATCTCCGCTAATAAAACTTTAATTCAGGTTGACAGTGAGGAACTCAGATCTACACACAAACAACAAAGGTTTGAGTAAGAATAAATTTTATCAGAGGAAAATACCCTATGATTTACTTTCCTGTATTGCCCTCAATTCTTAATAATTTTGAAAGCATCTCTTGGACTTGAATAGGTTCCTACTTTTTCATAAGATATAAAAATCAAACTTATCCAATTATAAATGTAGGTTAAGGACACTAAGTGGCTGTCACACATCTATCCTAGAAAAGAGTACTGAAGATGGACAAAAAAATAGAGATTGTCTCTCTAAAAAGATAATAGCAAGGATAAAGGAGCAAACAGATAGGGCAGAAGCTATAAAAATAAAATGCTTGGAAATAAAGATGAGAGAGTTCTAATGGACAAAAGGGATATCTAGTAGCCACCAGAGCCTACTTTATAAAGTTATTTCACATCTTTAAGTTCACTGATGCTCTTTCATAGATATAGTGCAGTTCCCAGATGGGTTATCACGTTAGCAGAACAACATTTCATTTACATTAAAAACTTAAATTATACGAGTTTATATACTGAAGCCATTCATTCCTTCATCCCCAACCCATTGTTGATCTTCTCCTAAGACACAGGGGATTGCATCTAGCCTGACAATCAGAGGTTTTAGCAAGGATACAATACTGGCTTTTCTAAAATGGCTGTGAATTTTTTTCTCCCGAACATTTACATAATGGGCTTCTAAAATGAAGATTTTTTTTTAAAATCTCTTCTAGTTTTCTTTTGGCAACTTTCTTATGAGGCCAAAAAGTTTCTAACTGATTTGGGGATAATTCTACAAAACTTCAACCATATCAATAGCTGTCCATCTGGATGCAGCCTATAAATATGCTGACAAAGTGAGTGACACACTGTCCAAACGAAAACAAAATAAGAAAAACAAAAAACGGGAGAACAAGGAAAGACAACTAAATTAATAAACAATCAGTGTTAACTTACTGTCTAATGATTTAGCATTTATTAGGACATTAGTTCTATTTTTAAGATGCTTATAATCTTGTATTTCATGAAGTGTGGAAAACATATGATAATATAATTTCTTCATAGACCCACGGAGAAGCTGATGCTGTGAAGGTTTCAAGAAAGGTCAAGAGTGAACATTTTGGTGAGTTTGTTAGATACAGTGTCCAATCTTGTTTTCTTTTTTAACAGAGGTGCAACATACAGTAGCAATATAATAAGGACATAAGGTCCTATGTAATACCCACCTCCAACTCGTTTTTCTTTTTTTTTTGTATTTTAAAGAAAATAGCACAAAAAAAAAAAAGAACAATAGCAAAATACAGACAACCCAAAGCAAAGACACTAAAAATGATGCAGGGTTTCAACTTGTTTTTCTTTTCACTGCTTATTAAACAGGATTCTGCAAGATATTTCTTGATATGGAGTTCACTTAACTCCTTGGGGAGGCAGTGCACCAAATAAAAGCATTTGGCAATACTTTCAATGGATCATACTTGCTATGGTTTATAGCTACATATCTCCCCAAAGCCTCTCGCAGTCATAGGTGGAGCTTTTCAGAGCTGGTGGATCTGAAGTGTGTGATGCTGGGATTAAGGATGTGATGCTGGGACTGATTATAGTGTGACGCTAGCATTAGGCTGCCCACTTTGAGTGTGAGTGTTACCCTCCCAGTAGCCTGGATGGAATATTAGGAACAAAAAGGGGGCTTCTGCTGTCACTTGTTATTTCGCTGCTTGCTGCTTGTCTGTTGCTGCCTCCTGCCTGCTCTACCATGCTGTCTGCCATGCCACCCTGCCTTGGAGCCAGCTGACTATGAACTGAAACCTCTACAAACTGTGGGCTACCATAAACCTTTCCTCCTTTAACTTTGGGTGTTGGGTATTTTGTCTCAGCCTGAAGAAAAAAGTAAGACAATACTGTTATTCTCTCTCATCAATTTCTTTGTTCTGCCATTCTATCTTTCCCTCTCCACCACCCCACCTTACTTCCTAGATGATCAGAAGCTATAATGGATGAACAGGAAGATTCAGGACCTTCTGACTCCTAGATGATCAGAAGCTATAATGGATGAACAGGAAGATTCAGGACCTTCTGACTCCCTACACATATAAATGTTGTGGATATTTTGAAGTTTCAGAACTTTCCCCAGTGCTGTCTGTGGAAAGCAAAGACATTTGCATTGTGCATGGGTCTCAATATCAAGTATAAACAAGAGCCTGTTCCCAATCTCGAATCTCCCAATAGCTATTACTGTACTTGTGAGCTTCCTAAACCTATTGTCAAGGGAAACATTTCCTCTGAGTTGTAGCAGCAGTTTAATTTTTCATCATTTTTTTTAACTGTGTAAGCTTTTAAACTTACTCCAATAGCTGCTAAGATTGGGGCCTGATAAATCCACCTGTCTCCAGCACTAAGTTCCCAGCACCTGAAACACACAAAGAACTTTCATGAATACATTTGGCAAAGCAAATTAATGAGAAATGTACTTCAAATTTTACCAAAAACCCACCCCACTCTGTTGATTAAAAAACAAATAAATGAAAACAATTTTATTTTAAAACATCTAAATCCTGATCTAGATCTAGGACATCTAGACCTTGAGTTCCATACTGTTAGATTCCCCTAATGTAAGCACCATATTATAAATATAGTGAGTTAAGGTTTACAGTGAACAGAGTTAAAACTTTATTTCCAGAACATCAAAAAATTAATATTCTAAATATGGTCAATTGATAGTTCATTTTTATAATTATCAAGATGAGACACAGTAGTTCAAGCTTGTTGATAAAGTTCTCCCCTTTCAGAAGATAAAGCATTTTATTTTACAAGTCCATAAATTGTAGAATATTAACAAGATAAATCATTCTTATCCATAGAAACACAATTTTAAAAACAACACAAATGATTCTTGCCATAGAAAGAAAAATTAGCTCTGTTCAATGGGATATAACTATCCCATGAAAATTAACTAGTTTTGTATTTATTTGTAAATTTTCGGTATTTATTTTTCTGAACATAAATGTGTAGTTCTTTGATATCCCTTCTGAACCAGTTATATCCTACATGTTCCTTCATTAAATAGCATTTTCAAAATCCATGGACAGGAATTCATTTTGTATTTCCATGCAATCCATTATTTTGTCTTAATTTTGTTTAAAATTTGTTTTAACAGTACTTTAAAAAAAACACCATGTAGTCACCATTATTTTCTGATTCTTAACTAAAATTTAAGCTCTACATGGTCAAGGATCATTATTGTTTTTGTGTTTTAAAGTATTACAATTGCCTAGAACAGTACAGAGTATACAGACAGCCAATAAATATTTGTTGGAATGAATTAACAAAAATTAAATCCAAAGTAATCTTGACACATCCTCATGCAATCTGGTTTGTACTATTAAAGGTCTTACACTATAATAAATATCATAGAGCTATTTAAAACTAAAACTAGTTTCATTTGAAACTTTAATTTGGCAATGTAAAGTTTTTTTAATTAAAGACACATAAGTAAGATCCTTCAGTTTCTTTCTTAGACAAAACAGCATGGAGTGAGGCAACAGTAAATGACATAGTATAAAAAAATTCAGGAGCTATAATGATAATTTTTAAATTCTATGTGAGTCATCAAAAGGAATCACCAACAGAGTGAGAAGACAACCCACAGAGTAAGAAAAAAAATTAGGCAGTTGTCCCTCAGACAAAGGACTTCCATCTAGAACATATAAACAACTGAAAACAATCAGACCTCCCAAATTCAAAGATCCAATCCAAAAATGGGCAGCTGAAATGAATACATGCTTCTCAGATGAGGAAATTCAAATGGCAAATAAATATATGAAAAAACGTTCAACATCATTGGTCATTTTAGAGGTGCAAATTAAAACACTGAGATTCCATCTCACCCCAGTAAGAATGGCTATGGTCAAAAAATCAATCAATAACAAATGCTGGAGGGACTGTGGTGAAAAAGGAACACTTCTTCACTGTTGGTGGGAGTGTAGACTGGTGCAACTACTGCGGCAATCAGTGTGGAAATTCTGCAAAGAACTAGGATTAGAGGTTCCAGTCAACCCAGCTATTCCCCTTCTGGGTATTTTTCCAGAAGAACTGAAGATATCACCCATGTTTATAGCAGCACAATTTATGATACTAAATCCTGAAAACAACCCAAATGCCCATCGACCGAGGAATGGATAAAAAAAAAATGTGGTCTTTTTATACAATGGATACTACTCAGCCATAAACTGGAGACTTTTAAAAGTAAATGGATGCAACTTGAGACCGTACTCATAAGTGAAATAAATCAGACTCAGATGTGTAAACATCGTATTGTCTCCCTGGTATGAGAAAACTAAACAAGTACATATGGTCTAAAATGTAACATGTGAATCTAAGATACGTCCCATGATCTGATCTGAGATCACATTTGCACACTGTTGAACATTTCCTAACTTTATGTAAAAGCATCTATTTTTCACATAACTCATACATGCAGAGTTCCAGGAACGTTAGGGAGCATCTTTTCATGTCCCCACCTGTCCTTCTGAAGGGTGAAACAAAAGCATAGCAAAGAAGTTACAGGTATCCCAGTTGTTGGTGTCTCTTACCTTGTGTGAAAGAGCTAAGGAGAAGGGAATAAGGTATCTTGTAAGGTGTTGATTTTGTAAGTAAAAAAAAAAAGATAAGCAAAATCACTCACTTCAAAACTTTATTTGTTCATCCTAATGTAGTAAATTATCTTAGCATCCCTCAGTTGAGCAACACTTGACACAATTTTAGAACTGGAAGAGCCTTTCTCTGTAATTCCAATAGTTTCCAGTAGAGTATTTTTAACATACTTTGATCACATCCCCATCCCTCCATTTGCCTTGCTTTCTCCTCTAGTTTCACAGGAGGTGGGGATCTCAATACATGTAATATGGTTTGCTCATATCTATCCCCCATTCACGAGGTATTTTTAAAACTTGGTCTACTCTGTGTATCTTTGAATGGCCAAGATGCAGAAAAAAATCAGAGTTCTAGCTCTAAAAGACCAAAACAGAAGTTGAATCTCAAGTGTAAGTCATGACTATAAACTCTCTCTTTTGGAGATACAGGAAGTCTTCTCTTTTTGCTTCGCTTTGTGACATGGCTCTTTATATACGCCAAATCCTATCCAAGAAAACCACAGAAGCTTGCTGTCTATGAGTCTCATGAGAAATTGAATCAGGCAGTTCTGAAATCATGCCAGATAAACAGTAATGCAACGTAGTTTTACATGCAAAATCAAATCTAAAATGACTTTCTACTTTTCCAATGAGATAGTGTAGAATTCAAAATTTTATTCAGAGAAAGGTAGGAGAAAAGTAAAATGTTTCACATGGCCAAATCACATAATATGATTTATATTTAATATTTTTACATCAGTTCAACCATTTTAGAAGAATTCTTAGCATCAGTTATATATATATACTATACACTCAATGAATGTTTTGCCTCAAAAATAAAAAATTTCTACTTTTATTTTTTGCAGTGTAAAGACCTTTGATTATTAGTATTTTAAGGTTTAGTTTATACTCCTTAAGAAAGCAAAATAATTAAGAAAACCATCCTATTTAAAGTACACTGTGAATGTATCTACTTTCTTTCTATGCTCAAGACCTAGAGACCTTGTTTGGAGGTTCTAGCAGAAGACACAGCTACTAGTCCACCCCTGACTGAGGAATGGCCCCCTCATCGAATGTAAGTAAAACTTAAATGTTTGTCACCAATAAATGGTAATACTAAAAATAAAAGACCTACAATGTGTTCAAAGGATGAATAAGCGTCAAAATTTTGCTCCAGGCTGGCTTGAGAATATCTCTTGTTATCTCTGAGTGTCATTTTATCTATCTCTAAAATAAGCACATTGGGACAAAAAATAAATGATGTCCTACCATCTCTAAATCTGAATCTATGTTACATAGTTACACATCTCAGAGTATGATTACTGCAGCATTAATTAGTTCTTATTTAACTGACTCAACCTCCCTCCCCTGGAAATCAAACAGCAGATACTGTAAGTTTCTTCTGAGGTTTCCAAAATCACTGTGTAAATTTAACAATAATGAAAACAGTGTAGATAACACTAACCCAATTTGTCAATTGATAATGAATCTAAATAGCACAAACAGATATAAACAAGTGAAAATGTGAAGCCAATAAATTTTAAATCTGAGGGAAACTGATCAAGAGAAACTGAAGTAAAAAGCAGGAAGGCTGTTCCTAAACACAGTGACTCAGACAGTTCAGATTTTCTGGAACAGTGAGTGGCAGGTTCTTTACAGAGCTCAGGTGCTCATGGAGATGATAATTTTTTTAATTAAGTGCATAGCAGATAAACTAATTTCTGAAGGAAATACCTACTAATTCAAAACAAGAATATTGACTGGAGTTAAAGAGAGGCTCCTGTGACAGTTAACTGGATAGTGAACTTGATTGGCTTGCAACACATCTAGATGATTAATAAAGCATATTTCTGGGCCTGTCTATTGGGTCATGGAGGTCTGACCTTGGGCACTGTATCTGGTCCCTGGACTCCTCCACTCATGCTGCTCCATTGCTTTGCTTCCTGGTTGTCACAGGTTGGCAGCTTTCCTCTGCCAGGCCCTTCCATCACGCCATTTCTGCCTTGGAGCTCACTGACCACGGACTGAACTCTCTGCAAGCATGAGCCACATAAATATTTCCTCCTTTAAATTGCAGGTATCAGATATTCTGTCCCAGCAATGGGAAAGATAACTAACACAGCTCCCAAGAAGCTAACAAAATGTGTACAATGTGCATAATCATTAGATAATAAATTGTACTGTGCTACTAATTCTGCTATTAGAAGATAAGAAGACAAATGGAATGAATGAAACACATTTGCATGAAATATAAATAAGTGGTAATATGTAGAGTACACATGATAAATATAGGTAATAAAGATATACAAGACAACTATAAGCTAAACGTTTATGATATACTATACAGACAGATGAAATAAAATATTCCCAATATACAGGAAGTGCACAATACTCTTGAGGTCTTAACTCAGCTTATTGGTAAAATTCATTTCCATACACCAAAAGAATGAAAATAAAACCCCGAGCTCCTCATCAAGCTGAGAATGTACAGCTATGGCCAATATACTTGCCCCTGTGTCTCTAAATCAGCCAGGGTGAGTCACTAGACCTACAGGCATCTGTCTAGGGGTCCCCTTGGTGCAACCTCCTATCTCCAACCCTCATAACCACACCAACATTGGAGAAGGCTGATATGGCAGAGAGACAGGAAGTAGGAACATTGTTTATTCCAATATTCAAGTAGTGTGGTTCTTCCACCTCTCATACCATACCTGAACGTGCTTCCTTACTTATCCTTTCCCTGCTGCTTCTCACAGCACATTAAATTGACTGCACACACCAGGAAGCTCAAGCATCTCAACCAAGTCTGTGAGTCTTTCTGTCTGAGGGCCTTTGGGATAGGGAATTTGCTGGCAATGTCTTGGACATTGCTGCTGCATCAAGACCACTTCCCACATGATGTCCCTAAAGAAAAATAACATCTGGAAGAGGAGCTGACATGGATTCCAAGCAGCAAGTCCCAGTCTGAGAAACCTGAGGTTCTCTCTTCACCTCTTCTGTTTTTCACTCACCTGGTGTCGGCCAGAGTTGCTCGTGCCACTGCCCAGGCCACAACAAATGCTGCTGGAAACCCTGCAATCAGAAAAGAATTCAGAGACCACGGTGTACTTAAGACTGAGCTGTTTCCATATTCACCACACGTTGTAGTAATATGCTATTAGCAATTGAAACAAAAAAAGACACAAAAAATGTTGAAATACGAAAAAGAAAAGTCTGTCTAGTATCCATCCGGTCAATTTGAGAAATAAGTGATGACACTGATGTTATTTGTCCCTGAAAGTCTGAAGGTGAAGGTTTGTCTGATTTCCACTTGAGGAGTGCAGGGTAAAGCCACACTTAGAGGGAAATAAAGTTCCTGGGGCTAGAAGTAAATAGCAGTTGGTACAGTTCGACTTTCACTCCACTGAGAGCCACACATTTTTTAAAAATTAATTACGTATTTATTTTTGCAGTACAAGAGAGGAAACCCAGAGGCACTCTTACCACTGAGCTACATCCTCATCCCTTTTAAAAATCTTTTCTTAAATTCTTTTTCTTTTAAGATAGGATCTGTTACCCAGGCTAGGCTTGAACTTGCAACCGTCCTGCCTGAATTTCCAAAGTGCTGGGACTACAGGTGTGCATCACCCTGTCCAGCTCAGCCATATGATTTCAAGGAGCAAAGCAACAAGAGTGACTCTTGAGAAGCTGCTCTTTTAAAAACATTCGGCCTTCATTCATTGTGAAAGTGGAATGCATGAAGAAGTTACACTGCAAGTTATAAAATCAGAAAGCTGGGACCACCTTAGCCTCTTCCTCTCCATGCTCACACATCAGTTCCAGACACATGCATTAGTTTGAACATCGGTGCCTACTATGATAGTTTGATGATTCAAGCATGTGATATTTGTCCTTCATCAAAGATAAACGTCTCTACACCTGCAATAGCAAATCTCTTAAATGGAGTTTGCACAAAAAGCTGACAGTTCAGGTCATGCTGTAGTTGATGAGAATTTGACACTACAAAAACAAAAACGCACACAAGCCAGGATATTTATGATACACTTCAATAATGGACTAAAAGACTGAATCAGTGACTTTTAATTTGTGGTTTTTAAGAAAAAAGTTTAAAGGAAATACAGAGACCATAATTCAAACACTACAGAAGTCAGGAAGCAACTCATAAAGGAGGAAAAATCTTTAACTTAGTTTAAAACTTTCACCAAGCACAACGTTAAATTCTTTATCTTCAAGAAACCACATTTGTAATTTTTCAAGTATTGTTTCTAAGCAATGAAGTAAACAAAGAAGTAGCTTTTGAAAGTAAGTTAGCACACATTATAGAGGATTTCTTTGGTCTCCTCAGAGAACAACATACCAAATGAACTTAATCTCGGCCTGCCTGACTATTGAATTTTATGATTCTATATTGCAATTATATTAATATTCTATTATCTTAATATTATATATATAATAATTATAAGTAATAATTATATTAATAATTGAAATATATTAGCTTTTATATAACAATTTTTATATGTGCTAAGTTTCTGTGTTTCAGGAAATTTCTGTCAAAGGAAATTTCTGTAGACCTACCTAATTCTGACTAATTCTTGGGCATAGCTTGCATACATTTTCTGTGCCAACTGGCTATCTTTGCATCCATCTATCCATCTATCCATTCCTCCAACTACTGGCTTATGACACACTTAGTAAGTGCCCATTTACTTGTCAGGAATTATTCAAGTCTCAGAAGATAAAACAATGAACAGGTTATCAATATCTCATTTTCTTAAAACATATACTTTATTGAGACAGACAAAATTAGTAAAATTTCAGTTATCAATTGGAAGAATAAATAAAAGAAAATCATTTAAGACCTCTTTAAATATTTTCATGGCACTGGCAAAAAAAAATAGGCCCAAGGATCAATGGAGCAGACTAGAAGATGCAGAAACAACTCCAAGCACACTCAGCCACCTTTTATTTGACCAAGGGGCCAAACACCTTCACTAGAAGAAATAGTCTCTTTAATAAATGGTGCTAGAAAAACTGGCTTTCCACATGCCAAAGACTAAAACTAGACATATCTCTCACCGGGCACTAAACTAACATTGAAATGGATAAAAAAATCTAAATATTAAAACAGAAGCACTAAAAACTACTGGATGACAGAATAGGTAGAAGTCTTGAAAACCTGGGTGTAGCCAAAAGACTTTATGAACACAACCTCAATTGCAGAGAAAACATCACAAAGAATCAACAACTAGGATCACACCAAATTAAAAAGCTTTGCACAGCAAAAAAAAAAAAAAAAACCATCAACAAGTAAAGAGACAACCCATAAAGTGGGGGGAAAAAATTTCCAGCTACTCCTCAAAGAACTAATATCTAAACTATATAAAGAACTCAAAATATCAGACCCCCCAAAAAAACTTAAAGACCCAATCCAAAAGTGGGCATCTGAAGTGAATAGACACTTGTGAGATGAAGAAATAGAAATGGCAAATAAATATATGAAAAAATGTTTAACATCACTGGTCTTTAGAGAGATGAAAAGTAAAACAACATTGAGATTCCATCTCATCCCAGAAAGAATAGCTATTATCAAGAAATCAACAAGTATTAAATGTTGGTGGAGCTTTGGGAAAAAAAGAACCCTTCTCCACTGTTAATGGGAGTGTTGACTCATATAACCACTATGGAAATCAGTATGGAGATTACTCATATAAACTAAAACTAGATGTTCCATTTGACCCAGTTATCCCCATTCTTGCTATTTACCTGAAAGAATTAAAGGCATCATATCACAGCAATATATGCACATCCATGATTATAGTAGCATAGTTTGCAATAGCTAAATCTTGGAAACACCCCAAATACCCACCAACCAACGAATGGGTAAAGAAAATGTGGCTTATTTATACAATGGAGTACTATTCTGCCAAGGGAAAGGTAAACTTGAGACATTTCTAAATAAATCAATGCATGCCCTTTGAGATAATACCACTAAGTGAAATAAATCAGACACACATGTCCAAATATTGCATGGTTTCTCCGGTGTGACGGGGAAAAAAGGGAAAATAAGAACCAAAATATATAATAGACATTGGGAAACAGAAGGAAAATGTTCAAATGGGAAGGGAAACTAGAGATGGGGAAAGGAAGGAAGAGAAAAGGAAAATGAATAGAAGGAAAAAATGGAAACAAATATTTTGTAAATAAGGAAGGGTAAAGGGGTAGAGGGGTTAAAGGGAGGAGAGGAAATGTGGAAAAAAAGAATGAAGATGTATCATATACAGGTACCAATTCCATATGATAACTGTTTTCATTCTATATAACTAAAAATGTACCAATAAAATTAATTAAAAATAAATCATCCAGTTCCAGGAATTTTGTGTTGGAAACATAAAATGGACTAAGACATGGACTTGAGCACATATCTCTTAAATTATATCAACTGCCAAATTGATATGATGATTGAAAAATGTTTGCTGGATTAAGGTCATTTTATACAAAAATAATAAAATTGGAAGCAGCGATAACAGAATATGAAAGCATTCTACATGAATATGCTTGGCCACGGGGACAAGACTGCAAAATTACCATGATGGGTCCTTTTTTTATTTTAAAGAGAAAAAAGCAACAGTACAGAATTTGAAAATAAGATAATAGGAGATTAACAATGGTTAATATATTGTGTATTTTTATCTTCAAAATTTGTGCTTATATTGCTTGATCAGTTATGCATGCCTATATTTTGTAATCTGAGCAACTACTTTGAGGATAGGTCCTTTTATATGGTGAGTTGCACATACTGGCATTTCACCTGGCAGCTGCTGATTAAAGATGACTCTTTATACACAGGTTAATCACCACATTCAATAATGATAAAAACAAGAGGGAAATCTTTAAAATACAGAAATAAAATACAAAACAAAATATGTCAATGAAAGTATATCATGGAACCGAGAATAAAGTGTTTTCTTTATGGCAAAACTGAGGCAAAGATAAGGTAGTGTTTGGTTAAAAGAAAAAAAAGAAACAATGCTATTGGTAGTCACTTTACATCTAGTTTGTTAAAAAAATGTATATATAAAATGGTCATTTGAAACATTGGCCTTCAGTTTAGGAAAGGTCAGATATGGCATACGTTCCTCTTTGGACTGTAATTTTCCTTTCCTTCCAGTTTGTTGTAAAGAATCATAAAAAATCAATGTGAATAAGGTAACCACACATATCACTACAATGTAAGTAACAGATTTCTAAGTATTTACCTAGATAAAGAGAGCTTAAAGATGCAACGACTTGACCCAGATGAGTAATAAAGGACTCAAAACAAGTTCCCTTGTTTAATGAAACCAATAAATAATGTCATTGAGAAAAAGTATGAAATTGAATTCATTATGGATTGTGTTATCAAAAGGTCCTGCAAGGCAGGAAGTAAGAGAGAGAAGTTTCTCAAATGGGAAGGAGATCAAGACACGGAGGGAAAAGGGAGGGAGAGGAGGGGAAGAAGACAAAAAAGAATTAAGATGAGTTATGTCCAATACCAACTTCCCAGGAGGAGTGTAATCACTTATGTACTGCAAACATGGACTAATAATTTTAACAAATGAGATAAAGCTTTGTATTATCTGTTTCTTCTTTGTAAGAATCTTTTCAGTTTATGTCTTGTACTGTGAGTAACTACTTTGAAGATAACAATACACAGTGTAAGAACTATTGTTATTCTTTTATTTGGTTATGAAATTCTATTTTTTCATAAAATAAAATGGTGATTTTATGTAATCTGAAAAAATAAGAGGTAGCCTTAAACAAGATGAGCTGCCTTTGAAATAAAACTTTTTTCACAACAATTATTATTTCATTATAAATAGGTACAATAATTTGACTCTGGTCTGAAAGGTTATTAGCTAGCTAGCCCGAAACTTCATACAGCTTACTTCCCATTGTCACTTGTTAGAACAATGTTAAGGCAAAATAGGCAAAGTACTGCTATTTAGAGGGGAAAAAAATCATCAAATTTACTCTTGAGCCACTTTAGTGATCTTTCTGCCTGTGTTGAGTACCTCCTAATTAAAATATTAATAGCAACTAAGATCTGTAACTGTTAATCTCCAGATCAGTCGATATCTAAGCCATATACTATAGGAGTTTTAATTTCTCTTCAATTTTAACAAACAATATGCTTTTCTCCAAGTCATGTTGAGTTAGTGTCCAATCCAGTAATTGTTCCAATACTGTCATTTTTTCAAATATAAGCTGAATGTCCTTTTTTAAAAAATTACTCTGCCAAAAGTAATTTGAATGATATTCTTCTAAAAGACATGATAAATCTCTATAATTAGTTTGTGGTTTGTATTTGTTAAATGCAGGCAATATAGTCCTACAAATTTCTTGTTGGAATGCTCAATATATGACCTACAAATACCAAACAAAGATGCATCATTACAGCTTACAAATTCAAAATCCAAAATTTTTAGGAAGAAATTATGGATAAAGCAGAATATTGACAGGTATAAGCATAGCAGTTCTAAATGTACATGGCTAAAAATATGCTGCCTTACATTTCCTTCAAAACATCCTCCGAAGAATCTGGCCTAAAAACATGACCAGTTTAAAAGGAAAGGAGACTTAAGTGCCTTACCCCAACCAATCCAGATGAAGCCCCATAGGTATTTGGTGTCCGAAAAGAAAGACACAAAGATTAAATTATGCAGGTAGAGACCTTCCACAAGGATCCAATAGTAGTTTGTAGCCAGGAAGTAAATAAACATCACAACAGCAATCTTGCACCCGATCTATTATAAATAAACCAAAATTACATTATATTAGAACACTTAATCATATGAGATTGCCAACGAAAAAGCATTTCTTCTATTTCCTTTGTATAGTTTAGTATGTCTCCTGTACAAAGAAGGCTGAGAATGTAAAAGACAAGAATGAAGTGATTTTAACATAGTGTTTTTTAAAACTATGGACTTGATTCTATTGTTAAAAGAATTTTTTTCTTTTAGAAATTACAAAAATGTCACTTTTTCATAAATTTTCTCTTTATAAAAATGATACATGATTATCAGAGAAAATGGAAAGCATATATTCTCTATCTTTCTGGAATGAATGAATGAATTTCTTTCATTCTGGTCATTTTATGCTATTTCAGCAAAACACACTGCCTCCAAAAGTGAATGACTTGAAGCGATGAATTTTTCATGTGCATCTATGGCTGGGCTGAGTAGTTCTGCTGACCTGGGCTGGTCAGCCTCACTCACGGAGGCCCCCTTCACCTGGCTCACTATCCCTTCCACCCCATGCTATTGTGTGAAGGCACAAGGCCGGTCCAGAATCAGAATCAGCAGGCACCACCAAATTACAGGGAAAAGACAGAGATACAGACAGGGCTTTCATTTGTATCACTGAGACACCATAGGACTGTACATGAGAAAAGGACTTTAGACACGCAAGCAAGGATATAACTATTAAGGGCTCTTATATGTCAAATCTCTAGTTTCACTGAGGAGATTTTTTCTTATTTCTGCCCTATTAATCTATTTTGAAACTCAGTGTCATTGTTCACTTTATCTTTATTTTTCTTTAAAATAAAAAATAAAAAGAAACAGTGGCCCATGAGAGTTGCTATGGTCTATGTATCAAATGTCATTCTAATCATGTTTTTTGTAGTACATTCTAGAATGTTCTGGAGGAAACAGAACATTCTTTTGAATACTCTAAAATGAATGACTAGACTTGATGGTTTAAATATGAAGTGTCCCTCAAAGATTGTGCATTGATTCCCAATGCAACTATGTTCAGAGGTTGGACCTAGAGTGGTGACTGGATCAACTGGGCACTGACCTCACCAATGAATTAACTCACTGACGAGCTCAGAGCTGGATGGACTATCAGGAGATGTGGCCCAGTGGGACGAAGGAGTCAGTGAGGGTCTGCCTTTGAAGGGTGTATCTGCTCCCAGGTCCCACCCCCTCTGTCTGGCACTTTCCCGTTCTCTCTACTTCTTGGCTCCCATGCAGTAAGCATTATTCTGCCACCATGCCTGTCTGCCATGATGTTTCTGCCTTGGAGCCAACCATAAGCTGAAACCATGAGCCAAGATAAACATCTTCTCCTTTAAGCTTTTTATCTCGGATGCTTGATCATGGCAACCAAAAGTTGACTAATAAGAGCTGAGAGGGCAGAATTGAGGAAGGAGGCATCGATCATTTAATTTAGGTAATTCAGAGATTTTTTTTTAAAGCCAAAACATGGTAAGAAATGTTTAGTGGACTGTGAAATTTCACTTATTTGTAATGTGATGAAAATTGTACTGAGAGAAAATAGTGAAAACACTTACATATTGTGATTTGTCCACAGAAGGCACTCCAATGGGACTTTGTGGGTCATCCTGTACCATCAGCGACTGAAGTTCCCCAATTCTCAGGTGAGCCTGGGCCACTTTGTCCTTTACAAAGATGCTGATAGCTCTCAGCATGAAGGACACGAATAAGTGCAGATGGATGTAGTTCCTAGTGCAATGCAATCGTCTATACAGAGAAACAGCCAGTATTTACATTTGGATAAACCAGAAAGAGGAGAGAAAAATAAAAAGGACCCAAATTCCTCCCTCCAAAAGAGGAAAATATGATAAACTCAAGACAAAACCCATATTATGTTTTCAATAACAATTGGGATCTAAAACTAAAATGCAACTTTTTAATTATTAATTTCAAATGTATCCTGATTTGCTTTTACCTTTATTCAGATTTTGCAGTTTTAAATACTATTGTACATTATATTACCATATCATATGCTATACAGTGAAGTAATAAGTGGGTGATGAAAGTGAATAAATATTATTAAAACAGGAACTGCCATGTTTCAATAATTCTGTACAATAAAAATAAGATGTCTTGATAGCATGGCAAACTTAATGTGTGAAATTTCAAAAGCACTTTAGATACAAGTTAAATGAGTAATATTTAGAAGTAGGTACTTCTAAATAGTGTCCCTGTACCATATACGCTAATACTACTTTTCTTCCAAAACTGGTAAAGCACTCAAGTATAAGGGAGTAGAATATTTTAATCCAATAATATATTTATATAATTATGTTATTAATGTACTCTCATTTAAAAATTCCTATTATTCAAATGATACTAGACTACATTTATGCTATGATTGATGAATACTTTTTATAATTTATAGCATACACAGCAGAAAGTGGACAAATCCATACATGAATTTTACAAGGTGACCATATCCATGTAATCAGAACCCAGACCAAGAACAGAACATTATCGAGATTTCAGAATCCATCTTCCACTGTCCTTGCAATCACTGGCTCACCAAAGTAAACATCAGAGATTAATTCCCCATGCTTGACTTCTCTAAAAATGGAATCAAGCAACATGTATTCTTGTGTGTCTGGTTTATATTTCATAAGATAGAAAGGAATATTCAAATGAGAATGAGCTAAATAAGACATTTGGGAGGTGATTGTTAATATGTTGTGAACATGTATTTACGGCCAGCGTGCCTAGATGGAATTCCTCATTCATTCATTCCTCCTAGAAAGTGTCTTCACAGGACTTTGTAAAATAAAAGAAATTTATTCATATAGTATTTGGCTAGATAAGGTATCAGGTGTAAGTGATAATTGTTTACTGTACATATTAGTGTATAGTATATAGATTTTTACTTTCAATGGATTCAAGATTACTTATTATCCCACTAAAGGAATATTTTGTTTTATGAAACAAGAGTTTGTGAAATTTTTACATAACTTTTTTGTGGAGTACAATACATTAATTTTATAGAATGTAATTGTGTACCAATTATAAATAATCTACAGTTAAATATATGATTATTATGTAAACTGAAGAACTATTACTTAGTCATTTGTATTCTCCTGAAATATTTGCTTTTTTGTCTTACCAAGACTGATAAGCCAGAGTAGTGGTACATGCCTGTAATTCTCCTTAGGAGGCTGAGGCAGGAGGGTCACAAGCTCAAGGATAGTCTGGGCAATGTTGTGAGACTCAGTCTCAAAATATAATTTTAAAAAGGGTGGGTGACCATGTAGCTCAGTATTCCTTGGTTCTGATGAACAAATCCCCAGTACTGAAGAATAAATAAATACTTGTCTATTATTCTGAACAATCAGAGCTAAGCTTGTTGTAACAGAAGACAGGGTTCCATTTACAACTCCACCCCCTATGACCTTGTGAGCCTGGACAGAGTGCCTCAGTTTCTTGCTCTCTGAAATAGAAAAATAACTGCCAAACCAGTTTCTCAAATCTATTTTAACTCAGCTATCTATAATCCCACAAATCTGACTGTGTTATACCCTTCTATTCAAAAAGCTATTTTTTTAATCTTTATCCTGTTGATATGGTGTATCACGTTTATTGATTTGTATATATTGAACCATTCTTATATCCCTGTGATGAATCCCACTTGATCATGACAGATAATCTTTTTAATGTGCTGCTCGGTTCACTTTGCTGATATTTCGTTGAGGGTTTCTGCAACTGTGTTCATCAAAGATATCAGCCTTTCTTTTGTGTTTGTCTCATTTTGGTACAAGAGTAATGCTAATCTCTTTAAATGAGTCTGAAAGAATTTCCTCCTCTATAATTTTTGGGAATAATTTAAAAAGAAATAGGATTAGTTATTTAAACATGCTAGCACTCAGCAATAAAACCATCTGGTCTTGGGCTTTCCTTTGGTGGTAGATTTTGTATTCCTTTGTCAATCTTGTCACTCATTCTATTCTGTTCAGATTTTCTATTTCTTCATGATGTAATCTCAGTAAGCTGAATGCAATCAGAAATTTGTACATTTCTTCTAGGTTACTAAATTTGTTGGTGCACACTTGCTTGTAATAATCTCTAATGATTCCTTGTATTTCTGTGGTTTGGGTTGCAATAGCTTTCTTTCTAACTTTGTATGTGTTTATTCAAGTCTCCTTTTTTCTCAGACTAGCTAAGGGTTTTTAAATCATGTTCAGATTTTTAAATAATCTTCTCTTCATTTCATTGTCTTTTAGGGTTTTTTGTTTCTATTTCATTTCTTTTACTCTGATCTTCATTATTTTTTCCTTTTGTTAATCTAGGATTTGGTTTGTTCCTGTTTATCTAGTTCTTTATAATGTGGAGGTAGCCAGGGATACAGTTCAGTGGTACGAGTGCCTGCCTGGTAAGCACAAGGTCCTGAGTTTTATTCCCAGTACCAAAAAAAAAAAAAATGCAGAGGTAGGTTATTTATTAGAGATTTTTCCACTTTTTTCAATGTAGGCCTTGATTGCTATAAACTTTCCTCCTAGTGCTGCTTTTACTGTATCATATATTTTTATATACTATTTCCATTTTCATTTATTTTATAAAATCTTATAATTTCCTTATTGATTTCTTCCTTGATCTATTGGGTGCTCAAGAGTAAGTTGTTTCTGTTTCATAATTTATTACTTTGGGGGTTGACATACAATATTTGTAGACACATAAGACATAATTTGGTGTTTTGATGGAAGCTGAGAGCAGAACAGTAGTCATGGGAGAATGAGGAGGGTGAGAGAATGGAGACATTGATCACTGGGTAGGTCTGATGCTGTTTTTTGACAGGAAAAATAAATTCTGGTATTTTATGGCATAGCATGGTAAATATACTTAACAATATTGCATAATATATCTCAAAATAAAAGGAATTTGAATGTACTCACCATAAAAAGTGATAGTTTAAGATGATGGCTATTCTAAATACTAAGTTGTTCACTACCTGATGTAAACATAAAAGAGTAAATTATTTAATTTCCTTTTTTTTTTTTTTTCCTGTCCTTTTCAAGACAGGGTCTCGCTGTGCAGTTCAGGCTGGCCTTGAGCTCATTTTGTAGCCCAGGCTGGCCTCGAACTTGCAACAATCCTCCTGTCTCAGCCTCCCAAATGCTGGGATTATAGGCATGTGCCACCGCACCCAGCCCCATTTATTTTCGTAGTTTCCAGTTTGTCTTGCTGATCTCTAGTTTTACTGCACTGTGATCAGAATACATACTTAATACAATTTCAGTTTTTAAAAATGTGTTGAAATTTATTTTGTGACTTCTCGCATTCCCTGGGGAGAACACTCCATGTGTTGTTGGGAGAAATGAGTATTCTGCAGTTGTTAGACAGAATGTTCTATGGATGTTCGGTAAGTCCTTCTAGTCTAGGATGCAATTTAACTCTGCTGTTTGTTTATTAATTTTTCTGTCTCGAGGATGATCTGTGCATTACATAAATTGAGGTGCTAAAGTACCCAACCATTATTTTATTTTATTACAGGTGCATACCACCATGACCAGCACGTTTCTCCCTTTAGGACTATCAATATTTGCTCAATGAGCTGGTGCATGCCTGTAATCCCAGCACTCAAGAGGATGAGGCAGGAAGATCACCATGAATTCAAGGCCAGCCTGAGTTACATAGGGAAACCCTGGTTCAAAACAACAAAAAAGGGACTACTAATATCTGCTTTATATAACTGTCACCCTAATATTGAAGGCATATATATTTAGGACTGTTATTTCTTCTTGTTGAATTGACCCTTTACCACTTTAAAATGTCCTTCATTATCCCTTTTTACTGCTTTTGATTTAAAGTCTATTTTGTGTGGTATAAATATAGTCATATCTGTTCTCTTTTGGATTCCATTTGCATAGAATATTTATGAAGTATTCACTTTAAGTCTACATGTGAGCTAAGAATGGAAAAGAATGACTTTTAATCTATTCAAACACTCTATGTTTTTAAATTGGTGATTGTAGCCTATTTTCATTTAAGATAATACCAATAGGTAAAAGTTAACAAAAGCATTTTTCACTAAAACAAGCTATTTTGAAGTGATAGCAACATAACATGATCATAAATACAATCATGTTTATAAATCATGATTATAAAGAAAAAAGAGGGGAACATACTAATAAAAAACTCTACATTTATATGTATTCATCTTCACATTTTGAATTTTTGATGTGCCATTTTACATCTTTCTATATTGCTTATATTTTACATATAAAGGTAGTTATTATTTTAATTGTTTTTCAGTCTGTGAACTGAAGTCACTAATGGTTTACATACTATGTTTATAGTCTTAGACCACATGCTAGCCCATAAAGCATGCTGAAATAAATATAAAAGAACCAAAATTATCCCACACATATTTTCAGATCACAGTACAGTAAAATTAGAGATCAATGGCAAAAAACACCACAGAAATTATGCAAGCACATGAAGATAAAACAAGGCATTCTTGAATAATAAGTGTGTTATAGGAGAAATGAAGGAATAAATTAGACAATTCCTACAATCAAACAATCAAAATGCCAGCATAACACACCCAGATGTCTGGGACACAACGAAGACAGTCCTGAGAGCGACTTTTATAAAGTAAGCCCCCAAAAAAACCTAATGAAGTACCACAATGTGTTAGGAAAACAGCAACCCAGATCCAAAGCAAGTACCAGGAAGAGAAATTTAAAGATTGGAGGAGAAATAAAGGCTAACAAAACCCA